CTGAACTCCAGTCCTGGGGCCAAAATGGATAGCCTATGCACACCGGGCCAGCAGGTCTGGGCTGCATACGTGGCACATATGGGGTACTGGGGGGCAAGGAGGGGAGGAGAAGAGAACACATGAGGCTTGGGATGGAGTTCCCCTCCCTTCCCCTCATCTCCCTCAGTCTGTACCTGAGGGGTCAAGCACAGCCACTGTGCTACTCCAGGGATTCATACACTGGAGTACAGAGCCATCTGCTCCCATGGCCCCGTCCACGGCCCTGGGTGCACCAGGGGATGAACCAGGCTGAAAAGTGTGGCTCTATACCCGTGCATCTGCCCACCCAGAGCACAGCACAATGCTCACACTGCTGGTGCGGGGGCTGCTGGACAGTGAAAGGGGGTAGCCATGGGTGTCCCCTGTCCACAGGACTCTGGGGTAGACAGGAGAGGAGAGAGCAGTGCATTTACCTCCTTGCACAGGACTCTTGGGAGGATCTTGGGGTGCTGCAGTGTCTCAGCTGAGAAACACTGATCTAGTGTGTCAAACCTCTGACTGGAGGAGGTGGGGAGGAATGCATTTAATTTATTTCATTCAGGAATGACAGTCAGTTTTGTTTTATCTTTCCAAAAAAAAAATCTCACCCCCCTGGGTGGAACAGTTATTTCCCAGAGGAAGTCATTTGTCAAAGAGCTGCTGAAAAAGGAGACACCCTAATGAAACCAACCATTTGACCTCATATAGCAAGAGCATGGTGGGTAGAACTGCTACAGGACTCCTTCAAAACTGTTATGCAAAAACATAATTCTGCTCAGGAAAAAATTCTGCAGTCGTGCTTGGCCCACACATGAGAACCTGTTAAGGAACTAAAGCAGTTATGGTGCCTTGGTGGTATGTGTTCTATTGTAAGCAAAAACATACCTCATCATTTGTTAACTTCAGGAATATGTCCCCCAGGACACCCTGGCGGGGCCAGCTCAGAACCCTCTCTTGCAGTGCATGGAGTAAGTCTATGTGTTGCTGGACCAGGTATCGCAAGGAGTTGGGGAAGAAACTGGACAGAGGAGAGATCAGAGACAGTTACATAGAGAAAGGTGCAAACGTGCTTCTGAAAAGGAAATCCAGTTCCTAGGCACTGCGTGCTCTGCTCCTCTTTGCACCCACAGACAAGTGGCATACCAACTGCCCCTATGCTTTATCATAGAAAAGTAGGGCTGGAAGAGACTTCCAGATGCCATCTAGCCCAACCCCCTGCCTGAGGCAGGATCCTCCCTATCCAAACCATCCTATACAAATCCTTGCCTAGCCTGTTAGCAAAACTACACAGTCATCCTCAACACAACCGCAAGACACAACATCCTAACATACCACACGTAAAGCAGGGCGAACACAGTGGCCAACACCCTGCTGCTGCAAAGGCAAGCAGAATGTATGCCATCTAGCCCACCCCCCTGCCTGAGGCAGGATCCTCCCTATCCAAACCATCCTATACAAATCCTTGCCTAGCCTGTTAGCAAAACTACACAGTCATCCTCAACACAACCGCAAGACACAACATCCTAACATACCACACGTAAAGCAGGGCGAACACAGTGGCCAACACCCTGCTGCTGCAAAGGCAAGCAGAATGACAACAGCCACTCTACTTTATAAACTACTATAATTAATCTATACATTATGCTGGTACCTAAGGACTAGCAGAGACAGAGTGAGAGGTCATTTTGCCAGGTGCTGTGGAAACTCATTTTATATGGCAGCCACTGCCCCACACACTTTGCAACCCAGTATTTGGTATGGTTTTATCCTCCTTGCAGTAATTCTCTATTGCTAGAAATCCTTGACCTTCCTTGGCTGACAGCATGACCCTAACCCTTTTTAATAATTTGAGCTAAAATACTTAGTCCCTGACCTGCAAACTTGTATGAGATGCTTGGGAAAAAGGCTCCCAAGCCCATTCATTGGAAGAACTGTGGAAAAACAAGGCTGGAAGGGGCTTCATGAAGTCATCTATCCCAACCCCTTGCTCAAGGCAGGGTTGTCTCTGTCTAAACCACCCCAGCCCACTGTCTGTCTAACCTGCTTTTAGAAATTTCTAAGTATGGAGGTTCCACAACCTCTGGCTATCCTGTTATAATACTGGAATGCATGTGATCATAAACTGCCTCATTCACTGTGCACTTTGTAAGAAACATGGTAGGCAGAACTGCTCAAAAGCTGGAACTATCACCTTGCTAGAAATTCTAAGGTTTTAACACTTGTTCCATCATGAGCCAGGATGATAATGAGAAATATCATATTTGCTAGCATACTGCATGCACCTTTCCCCCCCCCCCCAATTAGCTGCCTGAAGTTGGGTTGCATGTCTTAATTGAGAAGCTGATTTTCTGCCCAGAATAGCAGCAGTTGCATTTATAATCAGCCAGTGCTGAGGGAGTCAATTGACTTCATAGCTCATTATAATCTACTTGATTTCTGCTAATTGCTTTTACTCAATAAGTGTTAATGGCCCACTCTCCATTTTAATTGTCCACTAATCAAGCTATCCTTGGTTCAGCAATTTTGCTGAAGAATTTGTGCTTTAGCTTCTTCTGGTCTCTCTTCTCCTAGTTCACAACCCTGCAGTCTTTGTAGCTCTTTTTTTAGAATCCTAGTTCTGCTCATGAAGTCTAGTCTCCAGCAGCAGCTATGGTTTCAGCTTGTGGCTGAGTAGCCAAGAGTTGCTGACAGTTCAGCTGTGAAAGGGTTAAAGCTGTAGCTTTTGCCAGAGCAGGAAAGGGAAGGCAAGTGAGCTGAAAATTAGGCTCTGTCTCTGATGTATATTACCATAACTCTGGAAACACCTTTTTCTCTTCATTCTGCCTTCCTAAAAACAAAGTATGTGTCTTATAGAGGGGTGGGGGGAATTAAAATATTCTGCCTAGAGGAACAGTCTAAGACTTTCAGCTTGGAAAGTCAAAGAAGTTCAGTTTGAAACCAAGACACTTTGTTCTTGCTGCATTCAAACAGGAAACAGCCATAAGACGTAGAAGGTGGAAAGGAGGATGACAGTGAGGGAGGGACCCCACATAACATATTTGACATCAGTCTCTAATGGGCTGTACCTAATGCTGGAGCCAGCTACTGGGGAAGTGGGGATGGCCCAAGAGGAGTAGGTGGAGAGGCATGCAGAGTTTTGTTCCCATGTCTCCAATACAGGGTGCTGTGGCAGACAGGAGATGTAGAATTTAGGAAACAAGCAGAGATTGGGCACAGAGGGAGGCTGAAGTGAAGTAGGGGTCAGAGAACCTATAGGGGAGTCTGGAGGAGGTAAAAAAAAAAAGGTAGGAGAGGGGAGGATCATTAACCACACAAAAACAGCTAAAATTATTCTACTGTAAACCCCATTAAGATCTTACGTTCAGTGTGGATAGAAGACAATTCCAGGAGGGTGTGGTAAGAGTAGAAAGAGGCCTGACCATACTGGGTATCATACCTTCTCTCCTTTGTGTTCCTCTTCACATCTGGCCCTTGCAACGTGGCTTTGATCTTCAGGATCAGGGACAGGTTGATGACATATTTCCTTTCAGACTCCAAAAGCTCTAATGCAATGTTCTGTCTTTTGGCTTCAACAATTAAGTTTGAGTTTTAAAAAACAACAACAACAGGAAAAACAGGTATGTTTGACTGGACAAGATGTCCTTAGATTAGGACAGAAAAAGCTGAGGAAAATCAATGGAGATTCTCTTTTATGTGAATTCCTTCTGAAACACAAAGTTCTAACCCTGATACTGCAACATGTTTCACACACGTTTGTAAGCCATACTCTGTTCACAAAGGACATCTGAAAACAAATATTTCACCCATTGCATGTTCAGGATTTTTGAGTGATAAGTATGTAAAAAAAGAATTTACTACTAAATAGTAATTCTGTTACCCTTTAACTAAATATACTGTTTCAGGACCAGATCCTCAACCTCTACTCCAAATGCCTGCACCACTCACTGCATTTACTTGAAGATGAGTTTTTCCCTCCCTATTCAACATACAGGAAAAGAAATCTCATCTTGGGCTTGAGTACCAGCCCGGAGCAGGCAGCTGCTGTGGCTCTGGCCCTGAAGCCAGGGCCAGAGCTAGAGTCACCACTTGCCTGGGGCCAGGGCTGGGGCTGGAGCTGCTGCCGCTGCTGCTGCCTGGCTGGGGATGGGGACAGGCCAGAGCCACCACTGCTGCCTTGCCAGGGCCAGGGCTGGAGCTACTGTGTGTTCCACGACCCAGGCCAGAGCCGGAGCCAGACCTGCCACATAGGGTAAGTGATGGTGGGGGGAGGGTTCAAGTGGGGAGGCAGGTGGCAAGGGAGCAAATGGTCATGGGGGCATGCACAGAGGGAGGGCATGTGGTGACGGGGTTTGGCATTGGGGAAACAAGTGATGGGAGGGATAGAGGCAAGTGGGCAGGCACCATAGGGTGCAGGCACTGGCAGATGTAGGGGGCAGGTTGCGCCCCATCACTTGCCTCCCTACCACCTGCTCCCCACTGCTGCTTTCCCTGCCACAGCACTGAGGAGGATGAATTTAAGATAATCCCCAATAATAAGATTCTGGACATAGGAAATTATAACAGATTTATAATTTTTCATCCATAGAGTCTAATTATTGGGGGGTTGCCTTAAATTTGAGGTCATCTTGGATTTGCGTAAATACAGTAAAGTTGCCCTAGCAGGGGAGCTGGGGATTCCCTTAGTGTTGGGGAAATCATGGCTAGCATAGAGATGGCTATGCCATCTCTACCCCTTCAGGGCCCTTACCAGCCAATGTCATAAGCAGGGATCCTGGTTTTCTCTGATTTAAAAAAATCCCCAATTTTTGGTTTAAAAAGTAACCCCAAATCTACATCTTCCCATGATTAAAATGAAACACCACTATATATCTATATATATCTAGAGAGAGAGAGACAGAGAGAGAGAGAGGTCTATATATATATATATATATATATATGTGGTATTTCATTTAAATGTGGATTTGGGGTTACTTGTTTAACTGAAAATTGGGGATTTTTTTAAATCAGAGAAAACCAGGATCCCTGGTCATTAGACAGAGCAGCCTTAGGCTACTCTAACTTAATACAAGGGCTGAATCAGATCCTAGTTGCTTGATTTTATAGCTGTTCTCTTGACCTGACTGTTGCCTGGAAATGCACGATCCTCAATTCAATTCACTCAGCCCCTGTGAAAGTAGAAGTCGCTTCAGGAAGGAAGCAGAACCAGACAGCTGTCTCTGCTCAGGACCAGAGACTTGAGATTCTTCTCTCAAGCCAAAGGAAATGCTAGGAGTCATAGTCTTGGGGCTGCAAATAATGGTAGGTCTCACAAGCAAGACTTGCTGGAAAGAATGGGCAGCCTATATAAACCAATTTTCCCATATAAGGAGGAGAGACTGTCAGGGGAGATGTTGAGTAGAAGCAGTGGCATAATGATGTGGCTGGGCACCTAGGGCAGCTGCTACATACAGGGGCAGTGACAACGGCCACCAACAACGTTGGCACCAGGGAAGGATCCAGAAGGGATGTGGTGGCTCCTTTCAGGCAACAGTGTTGCAGGAGCAGCAGCTGGGGGTCTTTTTTTAAGCCCCCAAATCAGGTAAGAATCTATTCTTTCCATCCCCTCCACACTCAGTGACACATTCTCCTCCCTCCCCCGGAGGCAGATGCAAGGGAAGGAAACCCACCTGCTGCCATCACCACTGCCACTGCTGCTGTCTCTGGTGGAACCTGGCTCCATATGCAGCCCACTGGAGAAAAACAGGAACATCTCTGGAGCCCCCTCCCCTCCTGCACCCAGGCCAGCTGGGGACAGCAGGGATACTGGCAGTGGTTGGCAGAGGAAGGGCAAAATGGGAAAGGAGAAGGGAGGGAAGAGTGTGGAGGGACATGTTGCTGAGCATGGTAGGGGAGGGAGATAAGATTCTTATCTGACTGACTTAAAAAAAAAGATCCCAGCTGCTGCATCTGTGGTGCATCCGCGCACCCAGGAGGTAGGTGATCTGGGATTGAGGAGTGCAGCCACCCTGCAGTGCTGGTTGCTGCTCTCACAGTTCCCTTTACAAAATCCTAACCCTAACCCTAACCAATGTGAGTACACAGCTGCAGCCATTTTTTGCTCCCCCCTCTTCCCTCCCCATTGGGACCAGGGCAGCTACCCTGGTCACCCGGCCCTCATTACACTACTGCACAGGAGTCTCTGTGAACAGAAATCAAGAGGTAGAACTGTCTGCATATTGAACTTTGCCCCAGGCCTTTTGTGCAGAGCCTGTGACACCTCTGAGGTACTGAGAAGGAAAGTCCGCAGACAAAAAAGCTTTGTTTAGATTTTTCCTGTGAAATAAAGAGCTGAGGAATAAGGCCACAAGGGAGGGAGATGGTTTTGACCTTATTGCAGGACTGTAGATGTGTGGCCTTTAGAGAACTCTGGGCTCTCATGAAGGTTAAAAGCAAATAAAAAGGGCCTTTAGAAGGGAAGTGGGTAGGCAACCTTACATAGAAAAGGGCTGAGCCATGTTTCCCTTAGAGTCTGGCAAACAGATTTGGGCCACTGTCTGGAGTCTTTGTGCAGCCTGAGTCATGACCCTGGATGACTGACAGCTGCTGGACCTCAGAACAACAATGTGTCAGCTCCCATGGGGCAGCCATGGGGTTTTGCCAGGAGCCTTGTTCAAGGGGCTGTAAATCAGTCGGGCAGTTATGAATAGCTCCCAAATCAGAAAGAAGATCACAGCTTGTGGCCTGCTCTGAGGCACCACTGGTCATGTATTTGGCTTCAGATTAACATAGCTTCCTCTGAACCCACTCAACCTGTGCACCCTCCAGCCACCCTCTATCCTTACCAGCAAAGGAAGTTTCACATAAGATGCTGTCCGCTGAGCTGTATCTGCTTTGGCTCATTTCCTTCCCTCTCTCTGGCTGCTCCTTGGAAATATATTCATCTCCCCATTCCTTAATGTCCTTGGGCTGTTTCCACACTGTTGATCCTTGGTGACCCTTTGGAAGAGCCTCAGATGTCAAGGAAGGTTTGAGGCTTTCTTCTGTCTCAGCATTTGCACTAGTCACACCTAGAAATCACAAGCTTTATTAGGACATTGCAATCTTTGTAAAATGCCTCCATTAAAAACAACCAAGTGGAACTAGGTGGGAGAACATCAGTGAAACCATTACAATCAGTTTTGTTGATGTCAAAAAACCCTTCCCAGTCATGTAGATTTCACTGAAATTTCATTTGAGAGAAAAAGTGGGGTGAAGAAGTTCCAACTGCATTGCACAGGTTCTAGTTCAACGTGACATGAATGATGTCTTTCTTTTTTGTGTTGAAATTACATTCCATTTTAAAATATTTCATTTTATGAATTAATATATCATCAGATAAAAAAGGGGGAAAGGGGCACCTGACCCCAAATAATTTTTTTCCTGGATTTTGCAAAATTTTCAGGCTTCATTCCTGATTACAACTAAGGAAATGCTGAAATCTTAAAATCTGTCACGACATGGAATTTCCAACTTGCCTCTAGAAATAATGCTTGGTAATAATTGTAAAAGCCTGTCCCCTCCAAATAGGTAGGGATGCCATCCATCCTCCCTCAGAGCTACATTACAATGGAGATATTTTCCCCATAAGAATGAAACCTAAATTGGCCTTTCTGCAGGGCAATTTGTACCAGGGAAAATAGCCCCAGAATTTGTGATTTGTAGAACAGCACTGCTTTACACCTGCTCTCAGCCAGTTAAAGGTTCATGTATCCAGATTTGCATCAATGCAAGGGCAGAAGCACAAGTATAAAATGCCACTCATGAGATGGAAGGCACCTCTTCATAAATGTTCCTGAAAGCAACTAATACACTGAAGACAGAGAATGCATCCCAAAGTACTTGGTTTGTCCTGTTGCATTCTGGTTGCCATTATATACCCTTTTTATATTTGTAAAGGTACAGGAGACTGCAGGATAACATCTTGTGCTCAGACCACCTGGGGGAACAGCTATTTGGACTCCCATGATATTGTTCACTCAGGAATAGATTTTCAGGGCTAAATCCAAAAGTGTGCAGTGGTGTAGTCACAAGCCCCCTTCTGCCACCATTGCTGCTGTCTGCAGCTGACCCAGGCATAGAGGAAACCCCAAGGCCACTCCTGCCCTGCTCCAGCCATAGGCACCAGCTGTGTGGTATGCCAGGCTCAGCAGGGAACAGTGGCAACAGTGGTTGGCACCTGCTTCCTGCCACTCATCCCTCCGTTCCACCCCACTGGCCAGGAGCAGGCACTGGAAGGAGGATTCTGTCCCCCACTGCCATCATTCTCCCTGGCTGATGCAGGCACAGGGAGAGCCCCAGACACACTCCTGACCCACTCCAGCTGTGGCCTGCAGGGAGCAGGTGTGCAGGGAGCCTGGACTGGCCAGGGAAAGTGGTGGTGGCATGCACATTCCTCTTTTCAGCACCTGCTCCTGGCCAGCAGGGGACACATGGAGGGAGGCACTGGGAGGAGGAACCTGTGCACCACTATTGCTGTTCTCAGCTGAGCCCAGCTCACTATGCTGCTGCTCCCACAGTCTCTGTTGGAGTGGAAAAGGAGTAGCTCTGGGGCTCCCCCCATGCGCAGGTCAGTCAGCAACAGTGGTGGTGGTAGTGGGTAGGTCTCCCTTTTGCATGCCTGCTCCCTTCCTGGCTCCACAGTGTCCCCAGTCAGCCTAGCTCCAAAGTGTCCCCTGCCCCACCCCCAGCCATGCCCCACCCCCTTCCCCCCGAGGTCTGAGGGGTGGTTTGCTGCACCCTTCTTTAGTACATCCTGGATCCACCCATAAAGATTTTCAAACCTAATTTTAGATGTCTCAACTTTGGAGTGCCCAAACTGAGATATCCAGGACTGGATTTTCAAAAAGTGCTGAACATGCACAGGACTGTGGACTGGAACTGCACTTAATCAGCACTTCTAAAAATCAGGTGCCTGGGCTCAGCCACAATTTTAAACTCACGTTTAAAGTTAGGATATAAGACTAAGAGGTCAACATTTGGGCCTCAGAAATTAAGGTCTAGTTTTGAAGATGTAGGCTTTTATTTTTAGGTCTCTTAGTGCCTTGTAAAAATGAGCATAAATATGCTTAACCACACATAGGGATTTGGGGATACTTCACTGATGTGGGTGTTCTGACATTCTCCAATGCAGGTATCATGTACATGAAAAGAATGATTGTAAATACAGCCTAAGGGCCAGATCCTTAGCCGATGTCAGCTGTTACAGCTCTCCAAGTCCTACAATTTTTGCTCCAGCTGAGGCTGCAATCTTCTGATGGCAAGTCTACATGTGCTCCATGCTGCTCCTGCAGCCACCAGAGAAAAATAAACTCTGGCCACCTGCTCAGGGTCCACCCACTCAAAACCATGAACTGTAGCAGAGAGGACATTCTAGAGGTGGCTCCTAGAGATTCCTGTTTCTTATGATTGATGCCAGAGGCTGCACCTGGAGCAGCCTCACTACTATATTTCTAATTTAGGCGGGCAGGAGAAGGCTTAGGTTTCAGAGGCAGCCTTGACAACAGTGCAGAGGCAGCATGGATGTACTTTAAAGTTAATAAGCCAAGAAGGAGGTTTGGGGATGAGTAGGTTAATCTCACAGGATTTCAACAGTATTAATGAGAATTACTTGGATTTTGTTCCTGTTAGGCCACTTGGCTAATTGCCCTAGATTTTTTTGCTTCTAAAAAATGAACTGAAGGGAAAGAAACATCCTGAACTGCAGAGTGCCTTTGGTGAGTTGTGCAAATTGCATTAGTTAAACATCTCTCCTAACATAAAACCTGGTGACAAGAAGTCCATTTTTCTGATAAAGATTCTTCACTACATATCTAGAAGATAGCAGTAGTTCAACTGAATAGCTGCCTCAATTTGCTTGCCATATTTGCTTTCTCAGAGAAAATGCACCACTAGCTGGAAAGAATAGTAAGTCATGCACATTTACCACTGATTTTCATCTGGATTCCTCTACTAATCTACAGAAGCAGGTTGGTAAGCTTTGGGGACATTTTTAAAAGCTACATAACTGCCTACCTGCACCTGATACAACTTTCACATTTCTTTCTCCCACTGGCAGGGCTCTGGTGTCAGAGACTGTGGAAAGACAACGGGTAAGCTATGTATGAGATGGCTGTAGAGTGGGCTCCTTTCTGAAAGCTATAATCAACTACAAAAGGGAAAGTGTAGCTTTTTAATTCTTTAATCTTCTCAGTGTAGGGACTTCTCCCTTTAGAACTTTCACTGAGGAAAATACATTTCAATTCCCATTGTTATTAATATTGGTCACATTTATCACAGTGGAACCTTAGGAATAACAGTGATAGGGCATTTTTGTGCTAGGTGCTGTACAAATACAGAGCAACAGACAGCCCCTGCTGCAAAGAGCTTAAGGTATATACAAAAATGCTCTGTGCATGTTTTACAGTGCTATAATTTAGAGTACTTTTTATAGTACCATAAAGTTACAGCACTTTTAAACACTTCCAAGAGAAGTGGTACTGGCTGCTACTCTGGGGGTCTTTAAAAGGAGGCTGGATGAACACCTTGCCGGGGGTCGTTTGACCCCAGTACTCTTTCCTGCCATGGCAGGGGGTCAGACTTGATGATCTGCTCAGGTCCCTTCTGACCCTACCAACTATAAAGCTATGAAACTGTGACAGAAGTGTGGTGCTTGCTGGAAGGGCAGCTCTGAGCCTCCCTGCACTTTTCAGGCTAGGCAGTAAGGGGTACTACACAGCCTCCTGGGGCTTCTCCACTGGTCAGAAATTTGACCAATATACAGAAGTTATTTAAAGTGCTGTAGGTTACTAAAGTGCTGTAAAATACAGCACTTCAAATATAATACATCATTTAACACAGGATAATTTAAAGTGCTGTACCCATTTTTAAAGTGCTATAAAGCCATGCACTTCTGTTAAATCCCAGCAATAAAGCACTTTAAATGGCAAAAAAAAAAGCAACTTCTGTACACACCTTAGGCTGGGCAGACACAGGGCATGGGAAGAGGTAGAACCTGCCAGCAGGGTGAGCAAGAGGCATGTTAATGGCATGATTTTTGAGGGTAAGGGGTTATTTAGGGGGTCAGTTAAATGGAAAAAAAAGGGAAGGGGCTGAGGGGGACAGGGCAGGAGGGAAGAGGATGAGAGACGTAGGGTGGAGTGAAGCTGAAGTGATGGCCTATGAGGAGGGAGAGGGCTGGTGCAAACAGCCCACTGGGGCATGGTAAGGCAGGGACAGTCCATGATGGGATGGGGCAGGAGTAGAGTAGAAAGGAAAACAGGGTGCAACTTTCACTGAACCTTTCTGCTGACTGCTGTTTGACATTTTAATTGTGTGCTTGAAGCATTCAGAGCAGGTGAGCTTGGGAATCCTCTTCTGTCCTGCTAGCAGTCTTAAGAATGAAGCGATAACACAGATGTTACAGAGAGAGGATGCATCCAGACAAGCACACATGTGAATTTTGCAGCACTGCAAACCTGTTTGTGGCACCGCAAACCACATGCACTGCATATGCAGGCATTCGCTGTGCTGCTAATTTGCAGCATGGCAGGTTTTTCTGACACCAGGATCTCCCAATGTTAAAAAAAAATGCACCAGAAAAAAGGGGCAGCGCACATGGTGGCAGCATGTGCCACCTAAAGCCAGAGCCTGGCTGGCCAGAGCCACATTCTGGCTACCGGCCAGGCTCTGTGCACCCGGATTGCTGCCATTGCAACCCCAGGAAGTGCCCAGGACCCCAGGTAAGGCTAGGCTGGACTCCCCTACCCAACCTGGGGCAACTTGCCATGTGCCAAAGTACGCATGCAGGGGCGGTCCCTGGGGACAAGTAGCAGCGGCACAACTATGCGCTGCTGCTATTTGTCCCTGGGGAAACGCACATGTACACTTGTATGGACAATGAAAGCAATGGGTTCTGACAGCAAAGCACAGCTACTTGATGGCTCTTTGGTGCTTGTCTTGATAAAACTAAGTGCATGCTTATGTGCTTTGCCAAATTAGGGCCTCAATGAGACTCAGGCCTAATCCAACCACAGGGCCCCTAGCAAAGTACTCGTGCCACTATCAGTGCCCTGGCAGCATTACATTCTGATCCCCAGCACCTTGGGCCAAACCAAACACTGCCATAACCCTCAAATGAATCCAAATGTCCTGGGTCTCCTCTTAGTCAAGCACCGCAATATCCTGCCTTTAACCTCCTCAGGCCAAGGTGCATACAAATATGTTGACAAATGCCAGCATCTATGACCTGCATCTTATCTTGTCCCTTGAATACTCACTCAGAGCTGTATGTTTTCAGAGGAGAGCAAAGGAATCCCTGATTTGTTCTCTGTCCCTCTTACCTTTTTCATAAGTCACATTGTGCATGAGATTTGTAAAATCTTCACTAATCAGTACTGGCTCTGGGAGATTTATTGTTCGGAATGGACTGCCTTGCAGAGGGGTAGGCACTGTTTGCGACCCATGTTCATCCTTCTGTATTCTTCTGTGAAAATATAAAAGAGGCGACTGGAAAGTATAATACCTCAGGCTGAGCTTTCAGCTCCAACATTAATCATGGTAAGCTCCAGTACAAAATAGTTGTGATAGAAACATGGAACAACTCAGGAGCAGGCAGCCCTGGACACAGCCCCAGGGATCTGCATTAAAGTCAATTCACTAACTCCTCTGGAAGTATCTCCTACTTGCTGTGGGATAGGGCTGAGCCAGAGGCCACCTTTGTGCCGCATTGTGATAGAAGAAATAGGACTGGACAGGTCACCCTAGGAAAACATCTAGTCCAAGCCCTCATCAAGGCAGGAAATGCTGCTGCCTCTGAGTCGAAAATGCCACTGTGTTGCTAAAGAACAGTAGTTCCACTACCATTCAGGGCATGCCAACATGTCCAGCTAAGAAGAAATTAAGCTAGTCTATGATAGAAGTGGTCTAAAATAGCCTATAATGTCAATTACTGTTGAGGTCTTCAGGGCATTTGGGGTTTAGTTCCTTACTTAGTTTTCACTTTCCGAGATTCCCTGCGTTTCTCTTGCTGTAGCTGTTCAATTTTCTGTTGCATTTCCTCTTGCTTGGCGCTGATTTCTTCAATCATTGACTTAGCATCACTGAGCTCCTCCTAAAAATAAAAAAATACCCAGGACAAGCTCAGCCATGACTTGTTGAACATAAATGCTAATGGTCTCTGGTGAGGAGAGTGTGTCAGGCAGGCCACACAAATGCTGCTATGTTTTATGCTAATGACTCTCAACTCACCCTTTATGCTAGGGTGCTGGTCCTGGAGCATCCTGGGGTGCCAGCAGATCCTTTGAAAGGTGTCACGAGGTGTAAGGAGATAAGCAGATAAGCTAACAGGCTCAGGCCTATGCCTGCCTGAAAGATATCCTACCCCCACCCCACCACCCAGCCCCTCTGCAAGGGACTAAGCACTGCAATATATAAAATAATTTTTGAAATTGTGTGCCACTTGTTTCACAAAAGTTATAGAGAGATGTATCAACTCCAATGAGGGGTGCCTCAAGTCCAGTGAAAGTTGTCTTCAGCCCGAAAATGTTGAGAACCACTGCTTTGTGTACAAGTATATAGTCCGTCTTAATTAAGAATTTCTGGAAGAAAAGTAGCTGCTGATCATCTGATATTATCACTCTTTGACAGTTCCAGGATACAACTTATCCCATATATTGCATGTTGATAGCTAACCTAACCCCAACTCCCTGGATATATCTGGTCATCTTAACTCACCTGGTATCATCCCAGCACTGGCCTGAGGATGGATGGCACTAGAGAGAGAAAGAAGCAGACCGGAGCAAAGGGCTCCACCTGAAGCCTAATGAAGTCAATGGAATGATTCTCAATGTGTTTAATGTCCTCTGAACTACGACCAGAGAGGGCAGCTATTCTTTTACAGGACTGTAAGATGACTGTACACACTCTCTTCTCCTTGGTCCTGATACTGCAGTAGATCTGCTCACATGTGTACTTGCAGAATTGGAAGCTTGGTTTGCTTTAATTAACCTTCCACTTTCCTGGATACTGCACCCCTGACACTTTCATGGTCTCCCCATGCACTCTTCCCCCAGCGTCAGCCTTTAGGAATTCTCTCTGATGTGCAGAATCTAAGGCACCTCCTGACTGAGCCAAGGAAATGGTTCCCTCTCCTTCCCTAACATTAGCTCAGCACCCACTGTGTTGTTTTCTAGGGCCACAACAATGAAGTATTGCAGTAGAGCCTAGATCATTCATGCTTGGTGTGTGTGTGTGTGTATTGGTCAGGGGGGAGGATTTGCAATCCACTTACTTTGCAGTGTGTTGCCCAGTAAAGGACAACCCACTCCATTGATTGCTACAGCTTTTACACAAAGGGCAAAGCCTCTCCACTCAGCTTGAGCACAGCCGTGTTCCCATGCAGCGGAGCAGAGAAGTGGCACCCTTTGAAATAAATGCTTAATCAAGCAGCTGGAGTGTCTCAATGGTACCATACAGTCTTTACTGCAGCCCTGTATGCCGGAGGCACAGTTGGGTGGTCCCAGCAACAGCTGAGACAACAGTGTGGGGATGCATGCTCTTTATGCACCCCCCCCAAGTCAGTGCTCAGGGCAGGTGCCCCAGTCACTGCCCTCCACCCCATAGTTATGCTACTGCTGTATACTTCTGATTACTTAACAAACCCTCATCTTTGCAGGGAGGTAAGGAACTTAACCCTGAGTTCTGCTCTATCTACTCAGAGCAAAAACACCACCAAGAAACTTTACCATGAAACAATAAATTGCATGCCTCTTATCAAGCAAGCTTCCAGCCTCTGGAGGCAGGGTCTCTGGTTGGTTTAAAATACAGAGCAGACACTCTGACTGACCTCTCCTGCCAAGGCAATTCCTTACCGCATCCATCAGCCTAGGACACCACTTTACATGATTTCCAGCCTTTTATCTGAATGCTCTTGAGCTTGAGCAAACCAGTCTCTGCTTCCTGCCCAGAGGGCTGCAAGCAGAACTTCTAAGACTGATCTTCTGCATGGGAATTTGTATGACTTTCTCACTCCAGTGACTGTGGTTCGTGCAGGAAATGCCCTATATCTGGCCCATTCAGACACATACAACACCAATTCAACAGTCTTTTACTGTTTAATAATACGTCCATATTGATTAAATAAGTCTTGGGATGTTCTGTGTTTCCAAAGCACCTGCCACATATATAACATGTGTGAACAGGTTGGAAGAGCTGCATCCCTCTATGGAAGCTAAGGGGAGGAACACAGCTTATGTTTTCAAGGCTTCCCTTGTGTTGGGCTACACGTCCTCAATTAGCAATACTATCTTTCCCACTGCTGGGCACTGCCAGAGAGGTGCAAAGCTGACAGAATTGGGGTCAGGATGTGGAGTTTCAATGTTCCTCAGCCATCTCGCTCATATGAAGAGGTCCTACTTCCCAAAAGACTTTATCCCAGCCTCACAGAATTTAGGTTCCTTGTGCCCAAGCATATGAAGGGAATCCAGGGGCTGTGTGCTGAGCCAGGTTCTGTGCAATCTTCTCAATGAATGTCTCTCAAGGTGCTTCAGCCATAGCCTATGACACCCCTTAGCCCAGACCTGTGAGATGCCAGATTTGTGAAGTGAGCTTAATGCAAGTGGGAATAAATACTGTCTTAACTTGGTTAAACCAAACTGTTGCTAGTTTATGCTGTCTCTGCTTCTTCCCCAGACCTGAGGAAGGGCACTTTGTGCTTGAAAGCTTGTCTTACACCTCTCCCAACTAGACAGTTGATCCAGTAAAAGATATCACTTCCATTTATAAATCTTCCTTTTCACATATTCCCTGGACTATTGGCATTTAGAGCAAAAACTACACTCTAGACCAGGGCATCCTGGGCACAGACTGACTCCACAGCAGTTCTATAACAAAGGTAGACAGGGCATCAAGACTCATTTTCACTTACGACCTCCAGTGTAATAGGACTGGCTCCAGACTTCTGAGGTTGAACAACTGGATTCTAAGGGGTTTGCCTTCATTATTTGGCTCCAGTTATCTCATTTCTGAGCCTGGATGCTGTCTAAAAAGGCTCTTCCATCCTGTTCAGTGCAGAATCCAGTCCAGGGGGACAGGGCATGGCAGCAGTTCTTACCTTGAAAGTGTTCAGAGAATTTTTCATCTCAGCCACTTTCTCCTCCATGGCGCAGCGGCAACTCTTAACCTTCTCCTCCAGAGCATACTCTCCATGCTGGATCCTTGAGAGCTCCTGCATTGCTTCAGTGAAACCTGCTTTCAGCTCAGAAGCCAGTGCCTGTAACTAAAGGAACCAGGAACAATGTGAATTCAATCCCTCCCAGCTGGGGAGGTGGAAATGATTTCCTTTATGTTCATCTGAACTACAAATAGGTACGAGGACAGGAGGACTTCTGTTAGCCATTTCCTTTAGTGCTCTAGCCTCATCTAGTGATTCCCGGGACATAGAGAAAGGTTGGTGAGCCTGTTCCAGCCTTGGCTAATACAGCTGTGTTTTAAGCCCAGGCAAGAGAGACTCATGTCTTTAAATCCCAAAGTGGCGTGTCTAATCCCCTCTCCAGCTGCTTTCCATTCCTCTCTGGATGAAAGGGAGATATCAGTCTGAGAGGGAGAGTGCCCTGGACAGGAAGAGCAGCAAAAGCCATTCCCCCAGTTTGTGTAACAGCAGAGCCCAATTACTGATCACAGAAGTAGCCAGGAGTCAGACAATAAGAAATCACTGTTGAAAAAGACCCTCTTCAAATTAGTTCCTCTTGGGCAGGCTGAATGCTTCCTTCTAAATGGGAGAGCTTTCACAAAGGGGTCAGGTATGCCTTAACACCTCAGACCCCTCAACAGGGGAGACTGGGAGCGACTATCATATCCCCAGGGAATCTGGGCAAGAAATACACCCAGTCTTGCTGCCATTTGGTTCATGGAAGCACGTAAAGGGCCTCTCTCCATCCTGAGATAGTCCCTGCCCTGAGGAACTTGCACTCCAAGCATACAAGAGGTAGACACAACAGACAGACAGCTGGAGCACAAAGTGATACAAGATGCTTAGGATTAGCACAGTGTGAGCAGCAGCCGCAACATGCCAACTGCCTTTCCATCGGTCAGGTTTGTGGAGGCTCCATGGCAGAGCAGGGCTCTCAGGCGGGGTTTGAAAGAGGATAGTGAGGCAGCCTTGTGGTGCATACAGAGAGCTCCTTCCCATCTAGGGTCACACACCTAGTCCCATGTGGGCATCCCTTCTATCCACACATAGCCCCACCAACATCTGTGGGGCTCTGCCCCGGTAAAGGGCAAAACTTTTTGTAAGTTCGCGGCCCGAGGCACTTCAATACCAGCAGTTTTTACCTTTACAACAGAAATTCGGCCTAACATCTGGTTATTAACTGAATCCAAAACTGGAGCATTGATGGTTAGAGGACAGCCACCTTGGGAACTCAGGCCCTTTAGTCCTGTAAATGAAGCAGAGATGGCTTCCGATACCTCGCAGTACTGGTACACACAGTCTTTCTCTAATAAAGACGACCTCAGCCAGTATTGCCACGGAATGCAATGGGTAGTACTGGCATCATTACAAAGGACATCAGCCTGACAGTCCCACTTCTGTCCCAAATTCACCCTCTAGATCTCCTCATCAGCTCCCTTCTGTCCCTGGACATATGTTTACTTTGGAAGGGGGCAAAAGAACAGCATTCAATGTGAAATCCTTAAGGATAGAAACTGGGGTGAAGAGGACTTCCCTTCATGATAGGGCTGCTAATCTCAGGCAGCGACCTAAAATGTCCAACTGTCTGGAGCTTGACTATACAGCCTGGCACCATCACCCTTTTCTCTGACAGCATAGTGATTGGTCTTCTGTATCAATTCAGCCTTGGCTACATCCTGTACCTCAAATGACACATACAGTATTGTTCACTGTACTCTTGGGAAACCATGCAAGAAACTAGGCCTTCCAATTGCTATATTATCAATTATTTTTGGTGCATTTGACAGGCCTCAACCATGTTTGATTTTACATGTGGGGAAAGTAAGGGACAAAAGAAATGAAGCAGTTCTCCACTCCCAGGACCATGCTTTATTCCCCCTGAAACCATTATTCTCAGTCTGCTTGTGTTCACTCTTGGTATTGTGTCCCTAGTGAGACTGGAGGGTAAGCACCTCAGGGCAGGGATGGTATATTTTACATGACCTGTGGCATGCTGAGCACATACCAGGTGCTCTGTAAAACACTATATATACCTCTGTACATTTACTGACCCTTGATACCTGGATCAACACCATGCCACCATTTTCCAAACATTACAGTATGTTAATATATTGATTGGGGTTGGAAAGAACATAAGGTTTGTTATACCACAAAATACTCATATTTCTCCTCTTGGTTTGCAGAGTTCAGAATTATAAGGTCATCCAACTTTCCTGATGCAACCTTGCGTGAAACATCAAGTGCTGTCACAGCTACTTGCTTTCAGCTGAGAGACATGTAGTGATACTTCCAATGGGAGATGCCAAAACCAGGGTCAAAATGAGGGTGAATTGGAAAGACACTTTGCGGAAGTGAAAGAGATTGGAAGGAATGCTGGCCTCAAGTTATTAGAATCCCACCTTGTCAACAAAATGTGCCAAAACATTTCATCAGGCTCTGTATAACAACACGATAGATATTTATGGTATATCCTGATTTAATCCATTTTATGAATATCTTACTCACCTAGCTAAAGGACAGCAAATATTCCCATTGTGGACATGAACGATCACTTCTTGTTATTGTGACCCTGCTCTGATTTGAGTGAGATTTCAGAAGGATTCAGGGTTTGGCTACATTCGGCTTTGGCATCTACCTCATTGGTAAAGCTCTACAAGAAGCGTTAGATTAACGACACTGGAAAACCCCACCCCACATGTCTTCTCTTGTCAAGAGAAGAGATTGTCTCAAACCTGGAGCTGGAAATGGGCTCTTTTTGGGAACTGTGCGCACCAGTATTTTTCTTCAGGCTCCCCCAGTTGCATTTAGGTTGTTAAGAACACTAGTGGATGATCCAGCATGTTGTCTAGATTTGCTCCAAGCATGGTGAGATGCTCAACAGTTGAAACACTGAAAGCTAGCTGGTCTATGCGTGCTCTCAGCTCCCATAGGAGCCTCCTCATCAGTGATGCAATTGTGGGAAATTAGAAGGAAAATGCAAGTCTAGAATCAGCCTCATGGCTTTGGATGTGGTTTGAACCCAAAATCATTGGTAGTGTCCAGACACAAGGCACTATAGCTATATCAACACTGTGGACGTTGTATCTATTTTAATTATGGCAGCAACACTAGAGCAGCAAGGTCCCCAGGCAAACTTGCCTACCGTCCATAAATGTATGGATAGTCTGTAAAAAAACAGCTCAAAAACACATGCCTATGACCTCTTTAAGAAAAATAAAACCATCTGGAAAAAGCAGAAACACTGAGCTCATTTCAAGATCTATATCGGAATGAAGCTAAACACAAGCTTTCATGCCAGACAGAGAGAGCACAGCAGCACCACCTGCTTGGAGTGCTGTTTGGAGCCCTGTAGTGTCAGGGCTTTCTGGCACACTGGCACACACGGCTCATCTCCCCTTTTGTCCTAGCAAAGTGCTGCCACTACAGGCGCAGACAGAAGTGACATTTTTAACATGATATGGCCCCTAAAAGCACTCTACAGCCATGCCATAACACATGTGCACAGCTGCAGAGCACTTTTAAAATGGCCAATCATGAAAAAAATCAACCCTCGTTAAATCAGGTAGTAAATGAAGGCGCTCTAAATTAGAATGCCTTAGGGAACTTGTATATGGTTCCCTGCAAGGGTTATCTGTCATGCCTCTGGTCTGTCACAGGGAGGAGGCAGAGAGTCTCCTCCCTGTGCAGCCAGCCCGCAGGCAGGGGAGGAGGAGCAGCTGGGCAGTGACCAGGGTGGGGATGCCTCAAGTGGGAACCTCCCCAACAGAAGAGGGTCCCCAGTACTTGATGACATTGGCAGGGCAAGAACATTGTCCCCCAGATGCCCTCACACCACCCCCCCAAATGGGAGAATGAATCCTGGCTTGCTGTTTGTAACCAGCCGGCAAGCAGGGGAGGGGGAGCAACTGGGCAGCAATCAGACTGGCAGGCTTTCACAGCAGGTTACAGTGCCCCCTGCCAGTGCATGGAGGCACCCAGCCCCCCCGCCCCCATCAAACACTGAATGTCTGTTAGCTTTGATGACACTGTAACTTTAAGCGGTTTCAAAAAGTTACAGCAGACACATCTACACAAGATGTTTACTGTGCAGTTGACTAATTAGCTGCACAGTAAACATCTCAGTCTCTACACATGTGCCCCTATTAGGCTGGAGTAAATTAATTTATTTCACAGCAGGATAGTACTTGTAAATACAAGTAGTATCCGACTACAGAGTAAAAAACTCTGTAGCAGCACATGTGTAGATGCTGGAGAGGGTTGCTGGGGCACAAGGGTGCTTCAGTGCAGTGAGCCAGGGGGAGCAGCCCAGGGCTGGCAGACTGACCCCCCTCTCCTCAAGCTGCCTGCCAGCCAGGGTTGCTCTGCCCCAGCTCAACATGCTATGAATGAATAAACTCTAGAGCTTATTGCTCCAGAGATTATTGCTCCCAGGTATACATTCAAATGGCACACCCGGGAGCAATAAACTCAGGAGCAATAAGCTCAGAGTTTATTCATGTGCCATAACTGCATGTGTAGACACACCCAGTGTGATCAAGGTGCCCTTCTGTAACTTCTGTAAGTGCCCTAGGTGTCCCAGCCATTGCTGAGCAGGGCAGGACAGGGACAGAGCTGTGGAGCTGGGAGGGGAGCAGAGGTAGTAAGTGGGGGTCTGGGCCAGGACAGGGGGAGCAGAACTGACAGGTGGGTTGGGGGGAGCAGCACGGTACAGGGTGCTGTCAGAGTTGTCAGAGGTGTCAGGATATGGAATGAGTAGGGGACACTGTGTTAGGGACAGCAGGGTATAGAAATATTGCTGTAGTCATACAGGGCTGCCAACCCAAAAATTATTTTTACTGGCAGTAAAAACATGTGTCGGTAAAATAGTTTTATTGTCAGTAGAAAGTTTGCAGACTACCAGCTAAAAAATATTTCTTGGGTTGGCAACTCTGCCCCTAGGTGTGAACATAGCTGTGTTGGTGAGAGGAATTTTTCAGGGTTACATTGGTTACAAGGTTTGCTCTTTTCACACTGTCTGTCTGACACAGCTCTGCTGGCAAAATTTCATAGTCTAGATGAGGGTTGTACTCAAAGTGTTTCAAAGTTCAGGGTTAAGTTTGGATTCTGTGTTCTTGTTCAGGTCCATCTTCAAGAATGAGTGAATAGGAACCAAGCATGAAACCACTCTACAACAAATTAGTGGCAAATGTTATAGGACAAAGAGAACTGAGCAAGGATTCTGCTTGAAGGGTGACCATGCGACCCATTTTTGCTGGGACAGCCACGTTATAAACGTCTATTCTGGGAGTCCCATCGGTGCAGTCAAATGAACACTTTTGTCCCGTTTTCAGCAGAGTGCCTGAGAAAGGTGGCTAAAATGGCACTGTCCTGATGAAAGTGGGATTCCTTCCCCCACTCCCGCTGCTCCTGTAGTCTGGCACTCTGCACCTTCCCCACCCAGCCCTGCCTTGCTCAGCTAAGCCCAGAGCCCAGAGACAATGGAGCATGTCAGAGAGCAGGGAGCAGAACAATGTCCCATTTTGTCACCAGGAAAGTATGGTCACCCAAATCAAAATACGTGCATCCACATTTTCAAGCGTGTCCCTTAGTACTGTATGTTTAAATGCTGTTGCTCCCAATTCACAGAGAGCACTTCATTTACTAGCACATTGGAAAATAAGGACAATTTCATCTCCCCAAAACTGAGATATACAAAAAAAGTGAAGATTTCAGAAAATACTGGCTGCAGAGACTTTCACCAAGAACCATCTGCATGAGCCAAGTCATGTAGAGGCGTATATCTACACGACTAATTTGGGTCAGCTGAAGTTTAGAAGGCAAAAGAATACTGAGAACTATACAGTGAAAGGGAATGTTAGCGAATCCTTAAAGTACGTGTAAGACACAGGAAATTCCCACAAGCAAAGTGTATCATTTGTCAAAGTGGGACATGATATCAAACTATAACTTCCATTTTTTTCTCCTGTCTTCCAGTTTATTTACTGATTCCCATGTTTTTATTCTGTCTTGGAAAATCAAGCCTGACCTCCACAAGATCAGTTGATTATGCTGCATTCCAGACAGAAGATCAGACCAGGAAAAGTACTTGATACCTAGATAAATGACTATGATTGAGCAGCTTCACAGAGGACCATCAGCTATGATTGTCTCTGAGCTACTGACCCCGTGGAACAATGACCT